TATAGTGCATCTGCAAAGAAAAAAAAATTATATAATTTTTTTTCTTCTTTTTCTTTGCAGATGCACTCCCCAACAAAATCTAGAATGATTATTTATTTCCAAATATTCATCTGGTGAAAATTCCTGTATTTTTTTTTAAATATCACATTCTTTTTTTTTCTTCCCAATATTGTGCAGCCCTAATCAGTTTATTGTTGATTAAATGGGATTAAGACATGTTGCAGACAGGGCTCAATCTTTGTCACAGCTCAATGTGTCAGGAACATGTACATGTGGCTCAGGCAGATGTAAGCTCTTCCACATTAATAGATTCAGTGAAACCCACATTTATTTGAATGTAAGCATTAAGTAATATAGGCGTTTCCATTAGCATTTGGCTGGATGTGTATGATATGGAAAGTATGTATTTTGTTGCCATACACCCATAAGGCAACACAGTGACCTCATACATGTGGACATGACTAAACATGGTGTAAGCTTTTCTGTCTGTAGGACATCTACAGTATCTGCTGAATGTTTTCTCTTCTCTCCTGAGTGAGATCAGACTTATTTTGCCATCTGTGACAGTACCAGAACCCAAATCAAAATGAAATCATCAATAAAAAAGTAAACCCACCCATAGATACCAAACAAGCACAGCAGATGGCTCACAAAGCAGTTGTTTATGGGCTACAATTGTTTATGGGCCTTGAGAACTAATGAGAACTGCTGAGCTCTAATCATTCTGTCATAATTACTTCTCATTAGTGTTTACACACTGCTTTTAAATCTGTATCCATGGCTACATCAAATATTCCAATTCGGGGGAGACAAAAACCATCTACACTGTTGTGATAAAAATAGATTTTCTCAATGTTCGCTAAGTTAATGAATCAGGCAGCCCAGAAAGGAAAGAGTGACTCAGCCAAGTTTAACAAGTATTATCTATTTTTGCTTTCTTCTAGCTTTTGTGATTCAAGTATCTTTGTGAAGTACCCAAAACATCGACCTCATTTTAATTCATGAAGAGGTCAGAATCTTAGAGGTTATTGCACAGATTATGAATTATTGCATACATGTGTCTTGGCGGGGTCAAATCTCAGAGGTTGTTATACAGGTTTTAAATTGGCTGCCATCTAGAAAGTTGGACAGCGAGCTTAATAGCAGTCCAGCAAAACTCATTTATCAAACCAAAAGAAAAGCACAAAAGTTATCAGTAACAAAACCGTTTTGTCCTTTCAGAGTGCTTTGAATGTCTTTGGGAGTCTTTGAGGGATGAGGTATACGTTAATATTTATTAATGATAGCAATTTGATGATGATACGCTGTGACGTTTTAATGTGTTTTAAGAAAAAAAAATCTAATTGAGGTAAAAGTGTTTTATTGATCATTTGGTGGTTAAATTTGTCATTTAATTATTTTAATTATTTTGCTT